AGGAACCTTTCTGGAACAATTCAAGGGACATGTTTAAATGGACAGTTGAGGAGCTCAATTGTAGTCTGGTTAAAAGAGCACAAACATGAACAATGCTTCAAAATAAGTACCATGTAGACAATCGTCCAGCTAAAGGCAACCAACCCGATTCTCTTCTTGAATAAATACTATTTTCTCTCGAAGTGCATGGAGTGCAAGCTTATAGGAAAGAGCAGAATCTTCTTTTTTTTAAATATTTTTTTAAAATATTTTTTTAAATTTATTTCTAGGAGAGAGAGAGAGAGAGAGAGCGTGAGCAAGGGAGGGTCAGAGAGAGAGAGGGAGATACAGACTCTGAAACTGGCTCCAGGTTCTGAGCAAGCGGTCAGCACAGAGCCTGATGCGAGGCTCGAACCCACGAACCGCGAGATCATGACCTAAGCGAAAGTCGGACGCTTAACCGATTAAGCCACCCAGGCGCCCCTAAGAGCAGAATCGTCTTAAAGAGCATCACTGGAGGGGTCAATAGACCTCATGTATATTTGCTAATAAAGAAGGATTTTGATGCTAGCTCTCATTGATTATCCAGTTAAGAAATCAATACTGTTGCTTTCTAAAAGGACAACCACAGAGTAGTTTGCGCTACTTAATACGAGTGTTGGGAAAATAATTATTAAGGTCTTCATCCATGGTGATACAGCTTAACTCAGCAAATCATTAAGAATTTCCCCTTTCATGCAGTTTTCACTCTCTGCAAACAATGCCTATTGTATGAGCTAACACAGCAGGAGGCATCTCCTCTGCTGACTTTCACAGAGTTCTTTTCAGTTAGTGAGAAGATAATGAAAGAAGAGGAAGCTGGAGAGAAAGCATCTCCTCAAGCAATCCCAGCTCACACAGGGGGATTATTATCATTCTCAAAAATCCTCTCTCCCAGTAGGCAATTTTGTAACAGAGAACTCTGTGCTCTGGTTTGGGACTGGGCGCTACAGTTAGAAGATGGGAAATTTTCAAATTGTGTGGCGGATTGGTATCAGTACATTTCTTCTCTGGCTTCACCCTCTTTTCTCCCCTCTGCTCAGTTCAAGCAAAGATACTTTCCATTAAATATTCAGGAAGTCAAAAGTAGTTAAAAATGTATTGCAGACTGATGTGAATGAATCTTTGTGGCTACCAGCTACAAACTGTTACTACAGTTATCAGACACCAGGGTCTATGATGAGAATCAGTCCAGGAGCAGTGGGTGCGTGTGAGAGGTACCCTGAAAAATCCACTCTCCTAAAATGTTTTCTTCATTCATACACAAGAGTGCTCTAAATTCACCATTAGAAATTTATTGCTTTGGATTGCCTTTGACTATGTGTTTGAAATTCTTATTAAAAGATGTATTTCAAATGGATAAACCACTTTAATTCTTTTTTTAATTTACTCATTTATTTTGAGAAAGAAAGAACGCAGGTCGAGGAGGAGCAGAAGGAGAGGAAGAGAGAGAATCCCAAGCAGGCCCTATGCTGTCAGTACAGAGCTGGATGGGGGCTTGATCTCACAAACTGTGAAATCATGGCCTGAACTGAAATCAAGAGACAGACACTTAAACAACTGAGCCACCTAGCGTGTAAGAATTAACATACTTTAATTCTTATCTCTTTAGCTAACAATTCTCTTAAGTCCCTAAGAGGTCTCCCTAAGACCTCTTTTGGTTCATGATGCCTATAGCTGAAAGCAAGACCCCCTGGGGAAGGGTTCCTTGGAAGGATGCCTGGAATTCAGTGTATAGACAAATTGCTGGACCTCCTAGCTTTTCTTGGCCAGGACCAGTGTGTGGTCTAATCAGAGCCTGATCAGTCAGGACTGCAGGGGGCTTTGGAGGAAGGGGTGAAGCCCTCTAGGCACTTCCTGTCCAGCTCACTCCCTTACTGTGTCAAGGCCTTTGTCCCCTGGCACACGGATATCTGCCACAATATTCTAATTGGCCTCTTCAGATCTAGTGTCTCTTTCACACTGTGGCCCACTTAACCTTCCTCCAGTGCAACTTTCATTCTATCCATCTTCCTCAAGACCTTTCTAAATGTTGTTTCTGACCTTGTGAGCTATTTGAACATATTGGGATTTGTAGTTACTGTTATTTCATGGCAGTATTATACCTGAAGCCAGATTTTGAGTTCCTTGAGGTCAAGGCTGTGTTCTTTCTTACTTTAGTCATCTTTCGAACCCTGGTCCTCGTGCGGGACACACAGAAGGGAATATATACAGATTGACTTGCTGATGAAACACATGCAGTGCCAACAATGGCTTCACAGGACTGCTGGCTGCTGGGAGGGCCATGGAGTTGTGTCAGATGTGGCTACTGACTTTTCCTATCATTGTGGGGACATAACAGTTACCATGTTTTGAATATGGTAGTATTTTGGTGAGGCATTTCCCACAGATACTGTCAATTTATCCTCTCAACAACTTGTCAAGGTAGATGCTATTTTGCTTATTTGTTTATTTATTAATGTTTATTTTGGAGAGATGGGGGAGGGGCAGAGAGAGAGGGAGACAGAGAGAGAAGCAGGCTGCAGGCTCTGAGCTGTCAGCACAAAGCCCACCTCGGGGCTTGAACTCACTAACTGAGATCATGACCTGAGCTGAAGTGAGAAGCTTAAAGGACTGAGTGAACAAAGTGCCCTTATTTTGCTTATTTTATAGGTAAGCTAAAAAAATGTGGAGTTGGAATCATAACCCCATCTTTCTGGTGGTCAAAATTGATATCCTCTTCATTATAACATGCTACTTTCGGTTTCTTTATTTGTGGCATGGAAACAGAAACCATATCAGTATTTGTGACTCTATGTTAATTTTGACCAGATGAATGAAATAATAAACTAGGTCCTTTGATGATTAAGAAGTGGCTTCTCCCCTTGTGAAGTCATACAGGATTTTAATAGCCCAGATGTTTTTTTTCCCCCTAAAACCATGTCCCCCTCCTTTTTTTTTTTGAAGAGTACATAGGTAGTAAAAGAGTAAAATCAGAAGAAAAAATCTACTTGCCTGGCATAGTTTGTTAATTACTTTGGATAAAGAGGCATTTAAACATCTGGTGTAGAATGTGGTTTATTGCACTGGAAGAAACAAAGGTCAGAAAAGCATATATATAATCTCTTACCAGCGATAATATCAGGTGTAATGAAAATATTTATAGAATGATTGGCACCCATCTGGTGAAATTATTATTGGAAGATGACAGGTACATATTTTTAATTCTCTCTTCTCAACCAGCAAATCCTGTCTCTTCTGATCCAAGTATAGAAATAGTGGCAAAATTAACATAATATGCTTTGAGATGTACAATATTTTCTATCCACCTAATGAAGTCAAAGGGTGTTTATGAAAAACCAATTATCCTAATTACTCATCATATGAGGGTGTGTTCTGAAGAAGGAAAGAAACTTGAAGTAGCTTATTTGGAGCAGCACAGAATTGTACACAGAATTTTAAATGCCAGGAATCTAGGAGATCAAAATAAGGTTATTCCAATGCAAATAGAGCCAATATAAGTGGTTTGTGACACATAAAGATAACATGAGTGTAATCTGACTTCCTTTAGTGCTTGGGGCTTTGATTATAGTAATTTGGTAGGAGGCTAAGTACATGACTCTTAGAATCATGGACTTTTATTACTGTGACATTCTTGCCTCTCACCAAAAAAAAAAAAAAAAAAAAAGGATTGAAATCCATATGGACGGCTGAAAGAGGACAAAAGTACAGAAGATTTGGGTTCTAGTTATGGAGAAATTTTCATGAAGCCGGTCTTTCTGGGACTTGGGAAAATGCGAAGGCTGAGTTAGTAATTCCTCAGCTCTTCATCTCTAAAATTCTGTGACCCTGTGAGTAAAAATTGCTTGAGTTTGAATAATGTGTTCCTTTTTTTCCTAACAAAATTATGAGACCCAATTGTCATCGTTTTATCTTCATTTAAGTCACATGCTGAATCGTTCCAGTCTTTTTCCTCTGAGGTAGTAATTCACTGGCTTTTCTGCATACATTTTAGATTTGCACCGTGAGAAACTGCTTACGATTTGTCTCTGAACAAAAGGACGCCTTAGTAAAAATTAGTGTAAAAAAATAGAGTTTAGGGGCATCTGGGTGGCTCAGTTGGTTAGGCGTCCGACCTCGGCTCAGGTCATGATCTCACAGTTTGTGGGTTCGATCCCCGTGTCAGGCTCTGTGCTGACAGCTCAGAGCCTGGAGCCTGCTTCAGATTCTGTGTCTCCCTCTCTCTCTCTGACCCTCCCCTGCTCAGGCTGTCTCTCTCTCTCTCTCTCTCTCTCTCTCTCTCAGAAATAAATAAAACATTTTTTAAAACTTTGAAAAAAAATAGAGTTTAGATGTTATTTCTTCTGGTGTATCGATTTCTTCATTGTATTGATGGCTTCAAATCATCATGCCACCTTATACCCACATCCTTTGTGACGTAATTTCATAGCACTTGTCCTTTGAGCAGGACTTATTTCTCTGCTCCTCGACTCTGGGCTGATCCCTGTCAATTGTTTTGGCTAATGTGATTTTAGCAGGAATGATAAAGCAGGAGCTTGGGAGGGGCTTGTGCAGTTAACTTTGCATTCCCTTGCACCTCTGCCATTGCTCTGAGAAGAACATGTGTGGGCTAGCCCAGTGATTGCAGGTGGAGGATAAGGAACAATCAGGAATAGAGGCACCCACAGCTGAACCCAACCTCGAACAGTTCACACTAGCTGATCTTCAGATTTATAAACTATAATAATAAACCTTGCTGTAAGTCACTGAATTTGGAGGTAATTCGTTATGCCACAGTAGCTGCCTGATATGCTTCTAAACAATTTTCATTGCTAGAGAAATGTTCCATCTGCGAGCCCATATTACCAAATACCCATTGAAATCATCAGTTATGTTGTTAATATTATCCGTTAATGCAATTATCAGGATATTTTCTTTTTGTTTCTCCAGGACATAAAACCAAAGACACATAGCATTTTAACAGTAGCACTGGCTAGTCTTACCTGTATGGAAACACTGCTGTATGAGCCACCAATGACCCCGGCAATGAGCAGTGGGATATTTTCTTGGATGGCATAGGATCCGTCAGGACACATATACTCAGCTTCATCCACTTTAGTCAAAGATGCCCTGACAAATTCCAGTGATTGCTCTAATGCATATGTATCCCTTGAGCATGTATCCAAAATGTGTACACCCAACTTCACTCCTGGCAGCAAGTAATTGTCTTTGTTGATTTCATCAATAGCAAATAACATGGCTTCCAGGCGTTGGATACCTCGTTCTTCATTGATTCGCCCACATTCCTCAGTTCCAGTGCCTTTTTCATTAATAGGAAACAGACCCCCTAAAACAAGGTCACCTTCTATTTTAATTTCTCTCCTCAGAAAGTTATGGTCCCCTAAAGAGAGTAAAAATCCCTTTGAAAACAGAGCTAACGTAAGAACGTGGAGTCTTGTCAACATCTTCATGAATCCGGCTTCCGTGCCTCCGGGAGATATCAATGGATGAAGGCAACGTTGCCCACTAGTTGTCCTCTTTCATTTCCGAACTGGATCTTTGGCCTGTCCTTCAAATAAGGGAGGAACAGACTAACAGAGCCTGTTACCGAATTCCTAAAGAGATAAAAATTATATGAACAAAGATGGTAAAGAAAACAACAGGGGTTACACTGAGGGTCCCCGATCAGACCTTTGAAGGGATCATGACTCAAATTACTAGTTAGTAAACACATCCTGCACCACCATACCGCGCACTCCCCGCATAGGGATCCTCACCCGGTCCTTACAACACATGGTGATGCAGACCTAAGTGGTTGCATCTCCCAGAAATGAATACCCAGGACTAAAGAAGTAAAGCAACCAGACAAAGTGGACCTGGAATGGAGGTAATGTTTAGACTCTGGTTTTCCTAATGCCACGATCAACACTCCATCTACTTGGTCATTGACTCTGGTCAATGGTACGGCAGTAACTTGGATTGAATATTTCGTCCTCCAGCTACATTTCTAGACCAGCCCTTTCTATTTATTCTTTTCTTTCCATTTGGGGATGAAACAAAACATCCTTGTGACTCTTTCACTGTTTCTGCATTTCTACCATCACATTCCTGTCCTTCCCTTATTCTAGATAATCTCAGCCCACTGCAATCAAGATTCTGCCTTCACTGCTCTAAAAAAAGAAAAGAAAAAAGAAAAGAAAAAAGAGAAAAAAAGCTCTGAAAAAACCTACTACTGATCTACTAGTTTTCAAATCCACTAACCCCACAATAGGCCTTGTTTTACTTGAACTTCATTGAAATGCTGACTATTTTCTACCTGTTCCAGCTTTGTAGGTTTCTGCCCTCTTTCTTCTGCATCTCAGATTTCATGGTTGAACCCCTCCTCCCATCCTCATTCCCAGGTTAGGTCATCTACTTTCACAGTTTCAACTCTCCGTGAATGACTCCTAGGTTAACTGCCTGCCACACAGCTCTGACTGCACATGTCTGTGACACCTCAAGGTCTATAGGTTATGGGCTCTGCCTTATCTCTGTGAATGGATCTTTTCTGCACCCAGGCTCTCAAGTCAGAAACCTGCAAGCTAGAGCCCTTCCTACTTTACCCCCCTCCCACTTAATTACCCACTAAGTCCTATAAAGTCTACCTGATTGGCTTCTCTCAAAGCCACCTCCTTGTTGATAACCCTGCTGTGCTAGATTCTTGTTCTCACTAACAGGACCATTGCAGTAGGTTCCTGCAGACCTGCTGCTGGCCCTAAAAGCACATTTTTATCAGTTAGGAAAAGATACCCTTCCTCAAGTACAACATTTTCAAATTCATGGTGGTATAGCCTGGACTACAGGTGATGGGGGCAAGTCCAGTCGCCGACAGCTGCCTCCTCCAGCCGGTGTTGGGCAACTCCTGATATGGCCTCACACCGAGAGGAGGGTAGTGATTACCAGTGGTGGGGGCTGCACAGTCAACTGTGGCTTAGGGCAGTTCCAGAAATCGAGCTTCTTTTTACATTACAGGGTAGAACATAAAGCACCTTCAAGGACTTGGGCAAAGCCTGCTATGAGAGTCAGGGTTTTGACAGTAGGCTGGGGTCTTCCCAGGGAACTTTCCAGAATCCTGGCGCGGAGTAGCTCAGCTGCAGGTACACAAACCAGCGGGCCTACCTACCGATGTACTTGGCACCCAGCTCCCTAGCGCCGGAGCAAACACTGGCCGGCACCCTCGCTCTGCCTGTTTCCCGCCCTTCTCCCCAGATAGGGTAAGCTGATTATTTTTAGAGTCCGGTGAGAGGTGATGGCAGACCTTCCCGGAGCATTCTCCTGACAGGGTACAGTTGCACGTGCGTGGTTTGGCTACCTGTCTTCTCTCCTGCTTTTGTGTGTGATTATGCATAGCGGGGGTTTGATGAGGGAGGGGACCCTCCCGGCGGCTCCTCCACTCCGGCAGGACGTCTGAAAACCACACCACCTGTGTGCTGTCAGCTATGTTGGCAAATGTTAATCATCTGAATGGCGTCCCAGCTGAGGAGGCACTTGAGTAATGTGTGATCTTAATTGCCACTCAGAATGTTCCAGCTCCTGTCAATCTATCCTGACTTCCTTTTGCCTCTAGGTTGAAGAATTGGCTCCAGAATCTTGTCCCTGGCTAGCTCTCAAGTGTTACTGTTCATCATGGCCATCAGCTCCGTCCCACCTCTGCCTTCAAATCTTAGGCTTCAGCTATCAAGAACTATGTGTATCTGAGAGGACTTCTCGAACGTTGATGGCCTCTTGGTTTGGCTCATGTTTTTCCCTTGGCCGTGAATGCCCTTCTATAAGCATTTGTCTGGCAAACACCCACTTAGCATTAGAGACTCAATAGTCACTACCAGGAAAGGCCAAGAAGTTTTTCCACTCTTCCTCTCTTCCTTCTCTAATCAAATCCTGCTTTATATTCCTACTGTAGCTAGTTCAAGAAATGTTTGCTATTCTTTTGTAATTCTTATTGATTTCTTTGTTTGCTCATTGGGAAGAAATAAAATGGCACAAACTTGAGGATTTTTAAGGCATGAAGAAAAAATCAAAACTCAACAACAAATAGAGACAGGAACTAGTTCAGTATGTACCTTAATATTTTTGGCATTTCTCCCTTCTTATGTTAGCAGTGTCCTTTATTTTTTTTTAAAAAAATTTTTAATGTTTATTTATTGTTGGGAGACAGAGCAAGAGTATGGGAAAGACAGAGAGAGAGGGAGACACAGAATCCGAAGCAGGCTCAGGCTCTGAGCTGTCAGCACAGAGCCCCACGCAGGGCTCGAACTCACAAACCACGATTTATGACCTGAGCCAGAGTCAGATGCCTAACCGACTGAACCACCCAGGTGCCCCTGCAGTGCCCTTTAAAACGTGGCTTTTCCCATGCTTTCTGTCCCTTTTGCACGGAGCGAGAGATTGTTTTCTTAAAACATGAGAGTCATCCGGGTTTTGTTTTGTTTATTTAGGTGTGAGCCTCAGCAATGACAGCAGCAGTCATTGGAATGCTCCGCCTTGGCCAAGAACCTCTCTGGGATATCTGCCACAGGGCACTAGAAAGTCTAATAATAATAATAATTTAAGTTTTTTATTTATTTTGAAAGAGAGAGAGAGGTGAGGGGGTGGGGGAGAGAGAGAGAGAGCAAGAGGGAGGGAATCCCAAGCAGGCTCCATTCTGTTGGTGCAGAGCCCAATGTGGGGCTCAATCCATGTACTGTGAGGTCAGAAACCAAGAGTTGGATTCTAAATGGACTGAAGCACCCAGGAGCCCCTAATAATATTTTCCCCCCAAATTTTAAACATTTATTTATTTTTGAGAGACAGAGTGAGCAGAGGAGGGACAGAGAGAGAGGGAATCACAGAATTCGAAGCAGGCTCCAGGCTCTGAGCTGTCAGCACAGAGCCCGATGCAGGGCTCGAACCCACGAACTGTGAGATCATGACCTGAGCTGAAGTTGGCCGCTTCACCAAGTGAGCCACTCAGGCGCCCCCTCTAATAATAATTTTTTAAAAAGCTGATACTGAGGTAGGTTTTTTTTTGTTTGTTTCATATCAATTTCTGGTCTCTCTTTGATCCCTACGTGTAATTCCCTTTGAAGCAAACTACCATGGAAGGCAAAAGACACTGTGATCATTATCATGAATGATAAGGAAGAAATTGCTCTATAAAATAATTGTTTTATGTGCCTAATAAAAGAGAATAGCTAATTAAAAGAAGGTCATCAACACAATCTTTCCATGTATCTATGAAAAAAATGTAGCTATCTCTTGAGTCAGAAGAAAGTTTGATTACTCAAAGAGTAAAAATGACCTTTCAGTTTACGGACAGCTTAATTCTCTCTTAAGAAAATGCTCTTGGCCAAGGTGCCTGGGTGGCTCAGTTGGTTAAGCACCTGACTTTTGATTTTGGCTTAGGTCATGAACTCCATATCAGGCTCTGTGCTGACAGTGTGGACCCGCTCAAGATTCTCGTCTCCCTCTCTCTGCTCCTCCCCGGCTCTCTCGCTCCCCCTCTCTCTCTTTCTCTCAAAGAAAATAAATAAACTTAAAAAAAAAATCCTTTTGTCCCATGCCAACTTGGAAGGAAACGTCACATGACTGTGAAAGTAATAATACATGTTAGTCTACCTGTTTCACAAGTAGGAGCTGTATTTTGCTTATGTTTGTGTATCCAGGGCCTGGCTTAGTGTTTGCCTGCAATCCAGAAGATACTCAACAAAAAAATTCCTTGAAGGGATAGAGACATCCATGACTATTAGGTTTGCAGACGACTCTTGACTATTTTATTTGCAGAATAGTAAAGGGGAGCTAAAGTAGAGAAAGGGGTCCTTTTATTTCATTGCCTGCCCAGTCATCTCAAGGGCTCTTCTGCTATTACTTTGCCGGTAGAACTACTAACAGGTAGAACCTTGTGAAGGTGCCAGAGAAAAATGCTTCCTTTGTATTTTTTTTTTTTTTTTACAAATAGTTTATTGTCAAATTAGTTTCCAATAACACTCAGTGCTCATCCCCACAAGTATCCTCCTCCATGCCCATCCCCCCCCCCCAACATCCATCAGTCCTCAGTTTTTGTCAGCATTCAAGAGTCTCTCATGGTTTGCCTCTCTCCCCCTCCCCCACCATTTCCGCCCTTCTTCTCCCCCTTGTTCCTCCGTCAAGTTCCTCCTAATCCTCCTATACGTGCAAACATGTGATATTTGTCCTTCTCTGCCTGACTTATTTCGCTCAGCATAACACCCTCAAGGTCCATCCATGTAGCTACACATGGCCAGATTTCATTGTTTCTCATTGCCATGTAGTATTCCATGGTATAGATAAACCACATCTTCTTGATCCATTCATCTGTTGATGGACACTTAGGCTCTTTCCATGTTTTAGCTATTGTGGAGAGTGCTGCTATGAACATTGGGGTACATGTGCTCCTATGCCTCAGCATTTCTGTATCCCTTGGGTAAATTCCTAGCGAAAAATGCTTCCTTTGTATTTGTAAGTTGCTGCTGAGGCGGGCCCCTATGAAGGTAGGAGAGATGTGGCCTCAGGCTGACCTACATTTACTTAAGAGAAAGCTTCAGCCAGGAGAATGCTAAATTAGGAACATGCATATTATCCT